AAATGCCACAACCCTTCGAACACTCATGGGACATCAGGCCTTTTCGGGCCTTCCTGGAGGCCCTCTTGGAGGCCTCTTGGGCCGTCTTGGGCCATCTTAGTGCCAGCTTCGGCCGTCTGGGTGGGCCCCTGGCCCGTCCGACGCAGTCGGAAGCCGTTTGGGGGGCCTCTCTGAGCCGACGTGGGGCCCTTTTGGTATGCTCCAGGGTCGTCTTGGAGGCCATCTTGGGCGTCTTAAGCGCCTCCTGGGCCGTCTTGGGGGCCTCTTGGGGCCGTCTTGGGGGGCGCTTGGGCCGTTCTGGGGCCACCTTGGAGGCCGCTTGGGCGATCTTTGGGCGATCTTTGGGGGCTCTTGGGCCGTATCGCGGGCCGTCGGATGGCCGAAACGAAGCAAATGTCAAAATCCTTCAAAAGCCTAGGGACAATCAGTGTGTTTTGCCTTTTCTGGACTTCCTGGAGGCCCTCTTGGAGGCCTCTTGAGCCGTCTTGGGCCAGCTTCGAGCCAATTTCGGCCATCTAGGTGGGATATCGAGGACTCGTACGGCGAATCACCGCCGCCCCTTGCCTTTGTGGAAGCGCCAATGTGGCCGAACGTTGAGGCCAGACCTGCCAAGCTCTCGGACCATGTGTTCCCTGAATCGGTTTGGAAAGCCTTCGGGGAACACGTAGGCATTTTGACTGTCATCTTGGCCGCCTGGAGGCCATTTTGGCCCTTTCGGGCCGACGTCTGATGGGCTGTTGGGCCGTTTTGGAGGTCATCTTGAGCGTTTTGGAGGTCTCTTGGGCCGTCTTGGGGGCCCCCTGGGGCCGTTTTGGGCCCCTTCGGCGATCTTTGGGGGCATTTGGGCCGTCTCGGGCCGTCGGAAGGCCGACACAGAGCAAATGCCACAACCCTTCGAACACTCATGGGACATCAGGCCTTTTCGGGCCTTCCTGGAGGCCCTCTTGGAGGCCTCTTGGGCCGTCTTGGGCCATCTTAGTGCCAGCTTCGGCCGTCTGGGTGGGCCCCTGGCCCGTCCGACGCAGTCGGAAGCCGTTTGGGGGGCCTCTCTGAGCCGACGTGGGGCCCTTTTGGTATGCTCCAGGGTCGTCTTGGAGGCCATCTTGGGCGTCTTAAGCGCCTCCTGGGCCGTCTTGGGGGCCTCTTGGGGCCGTCTTGGGGGGCGCTTGGGCCGTTCTGGGGCCATCTTGGAGGCCTCTTGGGCGATCTGCGATCGATCTTTGGGGGCTCTCGGGCCGTATCGCGGGCCGTCGGATGGCCGAAACGAAGCAAATGTCAAAATCCTTCAACAGACAATCAGTGTGTTTGGCCTTTTCTGGCCTTCCTGGAGGCCCTCTTGGCTTGGGCCGTCTTGGGCCAGCTGCGAGACAACTTCGGCCATCTTGGTTGGCTCCTGGCCCGTCGGAAGCCGTTTGGGGGGCCTTTCTGGGCCGACTTGGGGCCCTCTTGGAATGCTCCAGGGCCGTCTTAGAGGCCATATTGTGCGTCTTGGAGGCCTCTTGGGGCCCTCTTGGGGCCGTCTTGGGGCGATCTTGGGGGCCTCTTGTGCCGTCGTGAGCCGTCGGAATGCCGAGAAGAAGCAAATGCCAACATCCTTCAACAACTTAAGGGAAATCAATGATTTTGGCCTCTTCGGGCCCTCCTGGAGGACCTCTTAGGGGCCTCTTGGGCCGTCTTGGGCCGTCTTGGAGGCCTCCTGGGGGCCTCTTAGGCTATTTTGGGCCATCTTGAGGCTATCTTAGGCCGTCTTGGGTGCATCTTGGGCAGTCTTGGAGGCGTGTTGAGGCCATCTTAGCCGTCTTGGAGACCATCTTGGCCGTCTTGGAGGCATCTTGGAGGCCATCTTTGGCCATCTTGAGCGAAAAAGCCGACGAGGCAGGCAGCCGGCGGGACGCGCCGAAGCTCCAGGGGGAGTTCTTTTGGAACAAGAGCCAACACCACAACCGTAATAATCTAGCACGCCATGCACCCCTGCGATGAATCGACAGGGGGCGTCGGCCATTTTGCTGGGATATCTAGTGGCTTTATGCCCATCCCGCCACTGTGCCTGGGTTGTGGGTGTGAAGCCTATTGGATGTTCGTCCAGATTTCGTGGGGGGCCTGTCGTGGGCTTCTTGGAGGCAGTCCTCCTGATGGTTTTTGGGGGGCTCGGCTCTTGGGGCCTCTGTCGGGCCTTTTGGGTGCCTCTTGGGAGGCTCTTTGGGGCCTCTTGGGGCCTCCTGGGCGCCTCTCGGGGCCTCCTGGGGGCTTCTTGGGGAGGGCTCGGATTTTCGGTTCGCGTTCTCTCTTTTGGGCCCGTTTGGGGGCCGTCTTGGGGCCCTCTTGGGCCGCTCTGGGCGCCTCCATGGCCGTCTTGGGGCCCTCTTGGGCCGTTTTGGAGCCCTTTTGGAGCCGTCTTGGGGCGGTCTTGGTGCGGTCTTGAGGGCCTCCAGGGTTTTCTGGGAGCATCGCGAAGCCGAAAAGACCAGAACGCAACATTCTTCAAACACCTTAGGAAAATCAATGGTTTGGACCTCTGAGGGCCCTCTTGGGAGCCCTCTTGGAGACCTCTTTGGGCATCGATCGTTCGGCGTTCTGGGGCCCTCTTGGACCGTTTGGGGTTTTTTGCGGCACTCTTGGCCCGCCTGGTTGCCCTCATGGGCCCGCACAATTCACGCGACGACCCTTGCCGCATCCCACGGGGCACGCGGGAAGCCCCAGGAGGCACGCGCCAAGACCCAGGAGGTTTGAGAGCGAGGCGCCCGGGTCGCCTAAATAATCCCCTGGAGAGAGGAGTGAGGACTGGGCAAAAGATTCGGGGTCACGCCCACTCCATGTCCAGCGGTACGGTGGCGGGCATTCGTAACATGTGTGTTGCAATATATGTGGTGCCACCAATGTTGTGCATTCTTTTTGGTGCCATATATATATATATGTGTATACGTATGTGATGTGCGCTATATGATATAATCGATGTTCGGCAATGCAAAGCAATGCACAGCAAGGCGGGCGGCGATGTGGTGCAAGCTAAGTGGCGCAAGATGTACGGTGCCAACAATGTGGTGCAATGAATGTTGAAGAACTTGGAGTTGGCAACTCCACTGCTCGCACATTCATCCCACCCACCCACCCGCAACCTGGTTTGCAAAACCCACACGGGGGCGATTGCACTGACTGCTTCGCGATGGCTGGCGCATCCCTGCGGCCGAGCTAGCGCGCACAAGCTCGCACGCAGAACGGTGTTCGCGCGCAAGTTCGCGCGCACAGCGGCCAGCTAGTTGGCGCTGACCGATGCGGGCGTCCCACCAGCGCGTCAGACTTACCAGCGCTGGCGCGCTGGGCACTTCCGCGCGGGTCAGTGATTCGGGCGGGCGCGGTATCATGGTTACGTCGACAACGGCAGAAACGATGATGATGATGATGATGATGATGATGATGATGATGATGATGATGCGGATGCGGATGCGGATGCGGATGATGATGATGATGATGATGATGATGATGATGATGATGATGATGATGATGATGATGATGATGATGCGGATGATGCGGATGATGATGATGATGATGGTAATATTGATGGTCATGATGATGATAATGATGGTGATGACGGTCACGATGTGGATTATGATGATGATTGTGATGATGACAATGGTGATGGTGATGATGCTGAGGAGGAGGACCAGGATGCTGAAACTCATGATGATAATACTTCTGTTGATGAAGATTACGATGTTGATAATGTTGATGATAGTAGTAGTAGTGATGGTGGTGACGAGGGTGACGATGACGACAGCAAGGTTAATGACGGCGCTGTTGCTGGTCATGCCGATGACGATGATGGTGTTCACGTGTTGATGGTTCAGGTTTGGATAAGTGTTCGGCATGCACGGGCGGCCGACGCGCGCAAGTAATTCGCACTGTATTATTTGACAGGGGTCGTTCCCTCCCAGCAAGAGCGCAAGGGCGTTCGAGTAACGTGAAAGAGCGCCATCCTCTGTTACTGGCCCTCCCCCCGGTTCGGACCGCAGGGGAGGTCCCCCCGGTTCCAGCCGGGGTGGGGTTAAAATTGCCTCCCTGTCCGAACCGGGGCGGGAGGTGCGGGGCGGACCTCCCCCCCTCAGTTGGGACTAGGGGGGAGGGGAGGGGGGGACGGGGGTGTAACGAAGCCCAAACAATGCAGCTCAAACAAAACTCAACCACAGCTCCAACAAAACTCAAACAAAGCTCAACCAAAACCCAATTCACACTCAAAACAAACTCAAAGAAAGTTCAAGCAACATTCCTGCGCTCAAGCAAAGCTCCAACACAGCTCAAATAAAGCTCAAATAAAACGAATCGAATACAAAGTTCCACCAAAGCGCAAACAAAGCCCAAACAAAGTTCCAACAAGTTCAAACAACACTCAAACAAGGCTCAGCAACGGTTCGAGTTCAGGGCGGGGAGGGCCCCCCGCTTCGAACGGGAAGGGGGGGAATCCCGACCCTCCCCCCGTCCCTGGTTCGAGCCCCCTGGTGGTTTTCGGGCAGGGCTGGTCCCCCTTCCCGTCTTCCTGGAGGGGGGAAGGGGGGGAGGAGAGGGAGGGGGGAGAGATGGGGCTGGGATTTCCGGTCTGCGGCTAGGATTCTGGGTCTGCATTTCCTTTGCTGCTACATGGTAAGACTTGACCAGGAGCGCCAGTGAATCATACTCGTAAGGATTAGTTAGGTCGTGTCGCCCGAGATTTTTGGCCGAAGTCTCAAGGCAAGGCCGAGAAGGCCAACATGTGGCGTATTTGAAGAGCTTCCTTCCAGTAGCTGACACAGCCGCATGACGCGTCGCGCCCTTCCGCAATCCCTGATGGGCCTGTTTTCCACTACCACCACCGCCACCATAAGTTGGAGGGGGGAAGGAGGTGGATGATGATGATGAGGAGGAGGAGGAGGAAGAGGAGGAGGAGGAGGACCTTCTTCCCCATTTACTTATGGTGGTTGCGGTGGAAAACGAGCCCACCAATCCCTTTGAGCGGCCCCCCCACAGAGGCGCCGGCAAGGGCGGCTGGCCCCGCAGGGTCGGCAGGGGTAAGGCCGGAGGCAGAGGACCGCCGCCGATGCCGCCGCCGCCACCGCCGCCGCCACCGCGGCCGCGGCCGCCTCGGGTAATGACAAAATCATGGCCGGAGGTTTTTCCAGATGTTGGGCCTCTGGAGGCCCTTACAGGGCCTCGGGACCGTCAAAAAACGATCCAGGAGGAAAAACCGGTCCCAGGGAATGGGTCGAGACCTCCAGGGTCGACGCTATGAAAAAATCATGACGTCGGGGGTCTGGGGTTGCCACGGTCGCCATTTTTGGCGCCAGCGCTGGCGTTGCTAGCGAGCACGCCGTCGAGCCATCTGAGGCGCGCGATTTGTCCTCCTGTCCTTCCAAACCATTGTCTTTCTCACCCCCCTCTCCTCCCAGCGCTCCCTGCTCCTCCCCTTGTCCTTCCCCCTCGTTTCTTTGTTCCCTCGCTGGGCGAGGAGGGCAAGGATGATCAGGAGGATGACGAGGAGCGCGTGCAACTCTTCAACAGTGTTTCATAATCCTCATGCTCGTCTTCTTTTTCTCCGACTCTTTCTCTCAGCTTCTTTATTTCTCTCTCTCTCTCTCTCTCACGACCACCTCTTCAATATGCAAACAGTAGTATGTATGTGTGTGTATGCGTACATGTCTGTCTGTCTGTCTGTCTGTCTGTCTGTCTGTATGTATGTATGCATGTACGTATGTACGTATGTTTGTATGTACGTGTGTACGCATGTATGCATGTATGTCTGCATGTGTGCATGTATGTGTGTATGCTTGTACACGTGTATGCGTATGCATAGTATGCACGTACGCATATTCGCATGTGTGTATGATTGTGATGCATGGATGCATGTATATGTATCTATACGTACATGTGTATGAATAGGTATATGCATGTGTGTATGTGTATGTGTATGTGTATGTGTGTATGTGTGTATGTGTGTATGTGTATGTGTGTATATGTATGTGTATGCGTAAATATGTCTATGTATGTGTATACAGGTATGCATTTGTGCATGTATGCATGTACGTATTCATACATGCATGTATGTATGTACGTGTGTATGTCTGTATATCTGTATGTGTGTATGTGTGTATGTGTTTATGTATGTATGTGTGTATGTATGTATGTATGCATGCATGCATGCATGCATGTCGATCATCCTCTCGATCGTGCTTTATTTCTCTCTCTCTCTCTCTCTTGTCTCTCTTTCTCTCTCCGTCCTCCTCCCTCTCTCTCTCGGAGGAAGAGGAGGAGAGAGGAGGAGGAAGGGAGATCGCAGCAGTAACTTCGTAAGCTTCTGATTGGTCGTTCTAGTTGCGCGTTCTGTTCCTGGTTAGCGCAGGTTCACGACTTTGCTCAAGGGGTTCCGCACTTTGTCGTTGGCCTAGACCAAGACTCATGAACCATAACGTATTTCGTTGATGGGGAGGAGAGGGAAAGCCAGAGGTGAAGCCGCAGGTCTCGTCACTCGATTCTTGACGCCTCAGGGCTCAGCACACTGTTCCTGCTCTCCTTCAGGGAGGAGGGAGGATCGAACAGGCAGGGAGGAGGACGAGGAGGCAGAGGGGGCGGGAGGAGCACGTGGAGGATGGGGATCGAGAAGTGCCCTCGCCCCGACCGTCGTGGTGATTCCTCGTACGGCACGTGTCGGCCACTGGCTTGTGACGCGCTTCTCGCTCCTGCAAGGGGGGGAGAGGCCTCGGCGGCGCGCCCCAGGGGGGGAGGAGGAGTGCGAGGGGGCGGGGCCCTTCTCGGAGGGTTTGCGGGGCTTCATCCGAGGCCCTCGCGTGCTCCAGGAGGCCCCCCCGGGCGGCCCCGGAGAAGGCTCGGAGAGCTTGGCCGAAGGCCGGAAGCCTCCCGAGGCTTCCGAGGAGGCCCGCCCCCAGCTGCCCGCCCGCTGGGCGCGCCGCAGATCGAGGCGAGCGCCGTGGGCCTCTCGGCCCTCTGGGTTCTCGACGGTGCGGTCCTCCGTGTCGTCGGAGCGCCTTGCGAGGCGCCTCGCCCTCTCGATGCGAGATGCCCTCGCGAGCCTCCTCCACGCGGGGTCGTAGGCTTCTCGGCTCTCTCGACCTGCGAGCGTGCTGTCCTCTCCCCTGGGCGTGCCGCGGAGGAGGAGGAGGAGGAGGAGGAGGACGACGACGACGACGACGACGACGACGTCCGAGGCTCCCTGGCCGCCGGCGCCGGCCGCCGCGCGGCCGCCGCGCAGGACGGCGCCGCGCTCCCTCGGGAGGGGCTCCGCCGACGCCGCGGCCGCCGCCGCCTTTCGCCGCTTTTCGCCGCCGCCGCTTTCTCCATTCGATTTCGATCGGTTCCGATTCCGATCCGATTCGAATCTGGATTCCGATTTGAGTTCCGGTTTCTCAGTACAGGGCGTTTTTTAGCCCGCCGAGCTCGTCAGATTTGGCTTCTCCCGGCTAGGCTTCCGATTTCCGCATTGCTCATTCATGTCGATCGCCGACCCAATTTCTCGATCCGATTCGATTCTGGGTTTTCTTGCCCTGAAGATCTCCTCCGAAAAGAGCACCCGCTTAAACATACACTTTCGCAGCTCCGCGCGGATCTCTTGGCTTGGCGCCGAGCTCCCCGGCAGAGCCTCCGGTGCTCCCCCCCTGGCGCGCTCCGCTCGCCAGGGAGGGGCCTGGCGCCAGTCCAAGAAATCCGCTCGGAGCTTCGAAAGTTTAGGTTTGCGCAGCTGATATAGGGGAACATTGACATAAACATAAAAAACTGAACGTCCGCGTGGGTTTCTCGGATCGGCGTTGGAGCCCCTCCCTGGCGCGCGGAGCGCGCCAGGAGCGGCGCCGGAGGCACCGTTAGGGAGGCTCCAGCGCCGATCCGAGAAACTTGCGCGGACCTCCGAGTTTTTATGTTTATGCCATTGTTTGTTCCCCTAGCTGTTCATCATTCTTCTATTCACCATGAGACCTCGCCCTGCTCAGGCAGTTGGCCAACCCTCATTCGCCATGGTTCTGATGATTCCAGTCCCCCCCCGTCTCCAGCGATCTGATTTTCTCAGAACCCGCGGTGTGCCCTGATTCGGGCCTCGCTTGATAACCATGGAGTGAAAACGTTGGAGTCTGTGCCGATATTGGTGTTGTGCGTTTTGTAGACCTGTCGATTTCCGAAGCGTACGTTGTCTCGATGCGTTGATGGTTTTCGTGTCAAAAAAGTTGCAGTTTTACTGCGCGGGAAACCATATTCTGAAAAATGCGTTAGTTGTTGTATATGTGTTGGTTCTTGTGTTGCGGAGATCGTTCAAACATGTTGGTTTTGTCACGACATGCGTTGATGCGCGCACGTTCTGTTCGCAAAAGTGTTGCAATGCCGCCCAGGCGTTGTCAAAAATGTAGGTGCTTGAAAACCGTGCTCGCACGCGCGTTGATCGCTTTAAGAATCGATTTCCACAGTGTCATTCGAACCAGGTTTGAACGCGACGCCTTGCACATCCGACACTTTCGCCACGTGTGTTGAATCAAGTCGTACATTTTCCAGCCAAGCAGCGCCCGCGCAGGGCGTGTGGGGGAAGCGAAAGGGGAGAGTCAGAGGATAATTGAGTTGAAGGGCTAGGAAGCACGAGGAACAATAAGAGGAGGAGGAGGAGGAAGAGAGAAGGGTTCTGGCCGTGGACGCCGTGGATCCTGGACTGGACCCTGGACTCTGGCCGTGGGATCCTGGACTCTGGCCGTGGGATCCTGGACCCTGGGCCCTGGGCTATCCTGAGCCGCTGGGCTCTGGCCGTGGGATCTTGGATTCCTTGTGTTATTGTGTCAGAGTTTCTTAAGTCTTAGGTTCCCCTCCCCCCTTTCCTTGACAGTCTCTGCTCTGACGCAGCGCAATGACAGTATTTGCAGCAAATACACAGGAACATGCGCCGCACGTACATTATCGTCATATGTGTGTTGTCTTTCTTTTTACAACTGGTAATGCACATTCTGTCACATTACATTCAGTTGCCCGCGCGCCGAACATCGCACGTTGTCACGCGTTCTGAGTTATGCAATGTGTGAGCTGAGGTGATGAGTACTTGTTTGTACATGTGTAACGTTTACGTACTTATCCGGCCTTCCTCCGCCCCCTCCCAGCTAAGATGCCCGCGGCGAGATGCCCGCTGCTGGCAAGCGATGGCAGGACCTGCCGCGGTTCCTCCTCCTCTCCTCTTTCCTCCAAGCTCAAAAGTTTCGAGTTCAGCGCGAGTTTTGTTGCAAGTATCGCGGCCGTGCTGCGTCGCACACTGCGCGCTGCGCGCGCGTGCGCGCGCGCAGGGGAAGGGGGCAGCAGCGGGGCTGCAGGCGCAAGGCCAAGGGCGGGCGCTCTCAAAGGAAAGCTGCCCGGCAGAGGCCTCCACCGGCCGCCTCTGGACCTTTTCTCCAAATTCAAGGGCTTCGAACCATGCGCGAGGTTTGTTGGATGCACTGCGAACGCCCAAGGCGGGGGCGTGGGAGAGGGCCAGCGGCCGGCGACATCGGTTGGCATCCGTTTCGCCCGTTGTTCTTCGCGCTTCCATCCCCCTCGCGGTAATTGGCCGCGCGCTTTCATGTTCGGCGCCGTTCCCGATTGGCCCCATCTCTCCTGTGGCGGCTGCCGTGCGCTTCCGACGTCGACGTCCGTTCCGATATCCCAACGCGTTCTCCAAGACCGTTTCTTGCCGCGACATCCGTGGCGACTCCCGACGCGACTCCCGATTCCAACAGTTGGCGCGGTGCGCCGAGCCCGTTCTGATGCGAGCGACGATCGCGACGGCTTGCCCGACTGAAGTCACAACACTTTGCCCAACGCCGGACGAAAGTCCCAACGCCTTTCCCAACGTCAATTTGGATGCCCGAACTGGTACAAGCTCGGTAGAAGTGTCGATTTCGGCTTTGATTTCGCTCTCGACTTCAGAGTCGGGTCCCAATGTCAATTTTGATGCCCATTTTGATGCCCCGGGTGACACCCGACGTCAAGTTTGATGCCCAAATTGGTACAAATTCCGTGGAGCTGTCGATCCCGGTCACGACGTCAGAGTCGATTCCCGACGTCAATATTGGAGCCCATTTTGATTCCCAGATACCCAACGTTAATTTTGATGCCTACGCTGATACAAGCTCAGTCGAAGAGTCGATATCGGTTTTGATTTCGCTCTCGATTTCAGAGTCGGCTCCCAACGTCAATGTTGATGCCCATTTGGATACCAGCTCATTCGGTTTCGACTTCAGAGTCAGGTTTGGTGCCCAACTTGACACAAACTCAGTAGAAATGTCGATTTCGGTTTCGATGTAGGTGTCGATTTTCGAGTCGGCCCGTGACGCACGAATTGATGCCTAAACCAATGAGTTCTAGAGCCACCAGCACATGTCCCAACGCCAAAATTGATACACTTCACGTTCCGACTTTTTCCCCATCGTAACGGCGACCGTCGCAACGCCAAAATTGATGCGGGTGCGCGTTTCGGGGCCTCAGGTTTTTGCAAAGCACAGCCCCCCCTTCCCCCCCCCCTCGCCCCGGCGCGCAGGGTGAGATTTCAGCAGAGTCCCCCCTGCCCCTCTCCCCCGGCGCCCGCCGCGTGGCCGACGCCCCCCCCCCTCCCCTTCCCCGCGCGCCCCAGCGTCGCGCGCGGCAGTTTTGCACGGCCCCCCGGCCCGTGTCACACGTGAGATTTCCACGGCCCCCCCCTCCCCCCCCACACCCCCCCGCGCGCCGCGCGTCGAACGCGAGAGCGTTTTAAAGTCCTTCCCACGCCGCCGCAATTTTTTAGTTGCTATTTCTGCCCACGCGTCCTTCATGGATGCACGGTTTCTTGTCTTGTCTTGTCTTGTCCCACGCCGCCGACGCCTCCTGCGCGCGGCATCGGGCGCGCGACGCCTGCTAAAAGTCACCCGCCCCCCCGCCCGCTTGCCAGCGCCATCGGGCGCGCCTTGCGCGCGCTGTTAATTCGGGCTCAGGGCGCGCGACGACGTCATCTCTTTCTGACTCGCTTGCCCCCCCCCCCGCGGCTGTCATGCCTCGGCCGACGGCGGCCCGGGCGCGTCGGGAATTCTGATTGCGAGCAAACCCAACGGCGGAAACGTTCATGAAGCGCCAGGGTCGACGGCCGGCGTCGGCGCGGACGCCCAGGCGCGCGGCCCGCCGCGCTCGGGCCTTGGAGCCCCCGCCGCGCCCCGCGCGCGCGCCCCGGGGACCTCGCCCCCAGCGCGGCCGCCACCGTCCGCCCCCCGCGCCCCGCCCCTTTCCGCCCCCGCCCGTGCCCCCCGACCCCCCCGACCCCACTCCACGCGCGCGCGCCCCCCCCACCCCTCCCCCCCGCGCCCCGCCCCGCCCGCCCTCCCCCACCCCCTGCGTGCGCACGCGCGCACGCGTACACCGCGCGTTCTCAGCGGGCTCGCTGGACAATCCCGAGTGAGTGCCCATTGGCGATTTGCACTTTCGCTATCCTACAGCATCCGCTGGGTTTCTTGCGCGCCGCGCCCTCCGTGCCCTCGTGTCCCTGAGTAGGCACCTCTGGAACGGTTGCTCGCGCGGGCAACCGCGATGCGTGGCGGTGCCATGCGGTCTTCCAAAAAGGGCCCATCACGCCCCACGACGAATTTCAAGCGGCCAGAGACAGAACGCACCGTTTTCCAGCAATGTAGGCGAAGGCCGAAAATGACACATCAAACGTGTGTGGAAAGTTACCCAACCTCCAAATCGACGCTTCGAGAACACAGTGAAATGCCAGCTGCACAGAAATTTACACTTCTGCGAGCGGTACCAACACCAACGACGTAGGATTTGATATTGTAGTTTTATTTCAACGTCTCTGGGGAGGTAATCAAAAGGCTGGTCCTGTTTCATCCGAGTTGCACAACGTCGAGATCGAAGCACATGGCGAGCAACATAAAGAATGTGGGTGTTAGCTGTTATCACACAGGGCCCGAATCAAGGTGTGCCTTGATTTCGGACTCCGGGGCCCGCGCTCGGGCTCCGGGGGCATCCAGAACCAATGCCGGGGCGCAGCTCTTCCCCCCTTCAGCGCGCGAAAAAATATCACGTTGCCGGACGTCTGGGACTTCCGCCGCCGCCGTTGTTGTCGGTGGCCTCTGGGGCGTCGCAGGTCTCGGAGGCCTGCGGAGGCTTTTGCGGGGCTTTTGTGCGAGGTGTTCGAGGGCCTTCGCATTCTGGCTGAGCTTCGGCGGCGAGCCTTGGGGGGAAGTGGGCAGGGGCGGGTCTTCTCAGAAGGCTCGGAGGTTCTCGGGCTTTATGAGAGGTGTTCTAAACCTTCCCCGAAAACACAGACGACTTCTCAGAAGGTCGGAGGGCTTCTGAGAAACCCTGCCGCCTTCCGAGAGGGCCTTATCCTTTCACTTCCCCTTCGTTCGCCGCCGAAAGATGGAGGACGAAGCAGGAGGAACGGGGCAAGGATGAGGTCGAGGATGAGGACGTCGGACTCGTTCCGATTGTCGCCCTCCCCGGATCAGTTGAAGGGAAAGGGCCTTGATAACGCTTGGTGAAGATTGTGATGGCGGTGGTGATGATAGCGATGGTGATGGGGAGGTGCAGCAGGAGGCAAAGGGACTAGAGGGAGGAGCATGTGGAGGATGGAAACGAGAAGACGGGACGAGGGGAGGAAGCGGAGGCGGAGGAGGAGGAATAGGAGGAGGAGGAGGAGGAGGAGGAGGAGGAGGAGGAGGAGGAGGACGAGGAAGAGGAGGAGGAGGAGGAGGAGGAGGAGGCGGAGCAGGAGGAGCAGGAGGAGGAGGACGAGGAGGGGTGAGTGGAGAGGAAGCGCGGCGAGGCGGGGCCGGAGGAGCACGGAGGCCGCGGGAGAGGTGGAGCTCTGGCCGAAGGCCCCCCAGCGCGACAGGCCGCGGCCTCCTCGCCGCTGAAGCGTGTCATCAAAGGCTACCTCAAGAGGCAGGCGAGGGACGACGAACGCCGCCAGGACCGGCGGGGGGAGCGGCGATCGCCCAGGCGCGCTTCATCGCTCGCCGTCGCCCCTGGAGGTCAGAATACCGGCACCGCCGCCCATCCCTCGTCGCCACGGCCAGCTTCGCCGCACAGTCCCGATCAGGGCGCACTCCGGGAGAGGTCATGGGGAGTGGCGATTATCCGTGCCTGGTTTGTCTCCCCGTGCTCTTGCCTTCCTCCCGCCCTCCGCTTTCCTGCCAACCTTCTTCCTCCCGCTCTCCGCCGTGCTCCCCCACTCCTTCCGCCCTCTTCCGTGCTTCCTCCCGTGCGCCCCCGGATCTCTCCTCCCTCCGCCTCCCCTGCAGGACGTAAAGTCCATGCGGAGTAAGTCCGCACGGAGGGCTCAATCTCCGTCTGGGCTTACTGAGTCTGGACCTCGCATCTCCTGACGGGAAGCTGGGTCTACACGCGGAGGAGGTCCACACGGAGTCCTCCGTATAGTTATCTTGGCCCAGGCACCCTTCTGCCCTCCCCCCCGGCTGAGTAGCGTAAGCGGCCCCGGCGATGTGGCGCCACGGCTGCTCCCCCACTCGCCTCCCGCCGCCGCCGCCGCGCTGGCGGCCGTTCGCGCGCGCGCCGGCGGGGCTGCCGGGATGGCCACCGCCCGCAGGTGGCGCGGCCACGCGAGCTGCGGCGAGTGCCTCTGCCGAGAGGCGGCCCCCGCTGTGGCAGGTCCGGCAGGCCATGGACAAGCACATCGTAGGGCACGAGGCCGGGAAGGAGGCCGTGCTCCTGGCTCTCGTGGCCCGAGAGCACGTCTACATCGAGGGCCCCCCAGGCGTGGCCAAGACCATGCTCGCAGAGACCGCCGCGCAGGCCACAGGCCTCGGCTTCTTCTTCTATCAGATGCACCGCGACACAAAGCTACACGAGCTCATCGGTGATGCGGTGATCGTCAGGGAGCCACACCCGGAGGGCGGCGAGATCGTGCGGAGCCTGACCCGCCCGGGCGGCATCCTCACCGCGGAACTCTGCGTCCTCGACGACATCTCCCGGGCGCCGGGCGAGGCGCTCAACGTGCTCCTGCGGCTGCTCAACGAGCGCCAGTACTGCGGCCCGAGCAGCCACGGCCAGACCTGGGACCTACCGCTCCGCACGGCCATCGCCACGTCCAATCCGTCCGACCCTGGCTCCCGGTACTACACCGAACCGCTGGACCCAGCGAACCTCGACAGGTTCGTGCTTCAGCTGCAGAGCCAGGGCGCCATCGCGGCAGGCCGCTGGGATGAGGTTGCGAGGATCATAGAGCTGTTCTCCGAGGGGATTGGCGACGGCGACGATCAGGCCGGCGCCGGCGTGTCCGCGGGCAGCGCCGCCGCCGAGCTCAGGGCGGCGTCCGAGGCGTTCGACCAGACGCGTGTGCCGCCCAGGGTGAGACGGTCCCTGCTGGAGCTGCTGCGGGTCCTGATCGAGAAGCACGGCGTGACCCAGAAGAACTCGCTGCTGACTGACCGCACCTTCCTGGTGAAGGCGCTGAGGGTCATGCGGGCCAGGGCCGTGCTGAACGGCCGGGAGGAGTGCGAGCCCGAGGACCTCTGGGTGCTGCCTTACCTCACGACCTTCCGCGTACCAGAGGCGGTGCACCGCAATATGCCCAGCATCGTCCGCGGCGTGCTGGAGCCCGCGTGAGGTGCGGCGCCGCCCGCCACGCTCGACTCGTCTCGAGAAAAAAAGGAAATCCACACGAAGTCCACGCCGAGTGCTCGGCCTCCGTCTGGGCTTACTCCGTTTGGATTCCGCCTCTCCTGAACTGTTTCTCCGCCGGGCTCTGAACAGCTCTGGGGGGGAGAGGAGGAAGAGAGGCGGAGGAGGAGCAGCAAGAGGAGGAGCAGGAGGAGGAGCAGGAACAGGAGCAGGAGGAGAAGGAGGAGGAGAAAGAGGAGGAGAAAGAGGAGGAGGAGGAGGAGGAGGAGGAGGAGGCGGGGCAGCAGCAGCAGCAGCAGCAGCAGCAGCAGCAGCAGGAGCAGGAGCAGGAGCAGGAGCAGGAAGAGGAGGAGGAGGAGGAGGAGGGGGAGGAGGAGGAGGAGGAGGAGGGAGGAGGAGGAGGAGGAGGAGGAGGAGGACACAGGAGCAGGAACAGGAGGAGGAGGAGGAGGAGGAGGAGGAGGAGGAGGAGCAGGAAGAGGAGGAGGAGAACAGGAGGAACAACAAGAGTTGTGGTGGTGGTGGAGGAGGAGGAGGAGGAGGAGGAGGGAGGAGGGAGGGGAGGGAGGGGAGGGGAGGGGAGGGGGGAGGGGAGGGGAGGGGAGGGAGGGTGGTGGTGGGACGATGCCATGAGCGAGGTGCCGTGGTCACTCTAGAGGCTTCTCGACCCCGGGGGCATTACCCAGGAGTTTTAGGAGAAGAAAAAGGTGGGAGGGGAGGGCTGGAAGGCCTGGGCGAAGGAGACCTTGCCCCTCCACGGGGCCCTCCGCCTCGCGTCCTCCTCTCGAGCAGCTTGGCGTCGTAGCTCACGACGGCGCAGCGCCTCCTCCCTATGGGTGGCGATGCGCTCGAGCTGCGCCGGGGTGAGAGAGGGGCGGGGAGGGGGAAGCGGCAGCGGCGGCGGGGGAGAGGAGGGGAGAGAGGGAAAAGGCCTCAACCAACTCTCTAACTCCTCATCCGATCCAGGCTCATGCATGGGAATATTCCTGCTGGGGCGGTCAGGAGCTGGAGTCGGAGCAGGGGTGGGAGCTGGAGTCGGAGCACATATGGGGCCCTTGGGAGTCTCACTGGGGTCGTCCTGGAACCTGTGCATCTCTGGATCAGCTCTCTGCATCTTGGTCGTTCTTCCTGCGAAATCTGGTGCTGTCTCAAAGTCCGCACCTATCTCTGGCAGGTAAAACTTGCGTAAGTCAGCGCACAGCGCGCTTTCATCCATGTGCTGATCGTCATTGTCAGCATCTGTGAAAATGTTGTGCATGGAGGCTGCAATGGCTGCTGCAAGGCGCGCACACATCTCCTCGGGATATGTCTTCCTAGCATGCGTCTTAAAGACTGTGCGTCCTCCAACAAGCTCCTTCCCCTGCAGTATTTTGTGCACTCCTTTCCCGTGGCGACACCAGCCATTGCCTGGTCCTTCGCACAGGCGTCTTCGCAAACATGGCATTCTCAGTCCGAGGAGACGCGTGGGAGCTCTTCCAAACTCCGCAGGGTCTCGATCTGTCGGCTGCAACGTGCATTGGTCAAAGTCGGCTGTGATCGTGATGGGGGCTGAGGCTAGGGCCTCTAGGGGCTCCCAGTGGAAGCTGCTGGGGGCTTCTGGCCTCCAGTGGGCCGGGAGAGGATGTTCAATCCACCCAGAAGTCCCCGCCACCATGTGGCAGCCCAAGAGGAACACCAGGTTCTGCAGTAGCGTATTGGCCGCGTGTAGTTGGAGGGCCTGTCGTTCAGAAATCCATGGGACGCCCCAGTACCACTCATGTGTACGTAGTGGGGGGGGACCCCCGTCCAGCCATCTGGCCGCGCTCCAGGTTTCACAGGGGGCCCCCCCCCCTGTGTTCCACACCCGCCTAGCCAAGATATGTTTACCCCACTGTGTGATAGTATCCGTGCGCATGAGGTCCCCCATGTCTGTGTCAATGGCTATATCCACTGAAAGCATGATAATGTGGTAGGCTGTCGCAACATGCTCCTGCTCAATCCATGCCTGAACGTCGCCTTCGCGTCGCCTGCCTGAAGGAGGGAGGAGGAGGAGGAGGAGGGAGGGA